ACCTTTTCACTGGAGTATTTCCAAACAGTTCTGTTTATCATGTTTTCCAAGATATCTGGGCATAATTTACACAATGTACACAGGGATCAGCAATATTTCTAGTAAAAATGAGCAAAACACAATTGATCTCACAGTTGCACTCATTTAAATACTCGGTCTCCAGTGAAGTCTGGGCAAAGGATGACAATGCACTGCTTAACTTTCCGGGATGAATGAATTCAAGTGTTACATTCCTCGCACTGACAGTGCTCCAAGGCTGGTTAGTTGTCTCTTGCCGAGACTGTCAGTTCCAGGCAAATGTAAGCAAAATTCAGATAGAATTTCTTGAATTACTAAATCATTTAGTTATAGAAGTACAGCCTCTTGCAGGAGTGAATAAACAGTCTTTCATTGAGAGGAAAGGGCACTTGTCAGTGTTAGGTGCAAAGAAATAGTTCTGGCCATTGATGCAATCAGCGAACATCAAGTCAGGTGCCACCTGGAATAAAAATCAGGCCTGCAACTCCCTGTCCTGTGTGCCAAAGAACTGCTTTGACTAGCGTTCAGAAAAACTTTTAAGTGTGTGTGCATTTTGAGTCCATGTTCTCCTAGGCTAAAACCACATTTAATTTCACTCCTCAGGAGACTGAACTGCAAGTGCACAAAGTAATTAACCATTAGCAACTGATGTATGTTATAGTGCTGGAGAGGAAACTGCAGAGAGTATAGAACAATTATCTCCTGCTAGTAAAGCTCGGAGGAGCTTTTGCCTGCTTATTAAAAATAAGTTATAGAAGGTAAGAAGAAGTCAGAGAAGGCAAATGTATGAAATCCATGCACCTGATAAGCATAACAATGTTGTGAATATAGAAGCTCTGATATAGACCTCTGTAGGAAACTTGTTAGTATAATTGTGTGGTCTTTCCTACTGTGAAATTATAGCAAATACTGATGAGCCTTCTATTGAAAATTGTAGCCAAACTCTTTTTTGAGTTTATTTTTTTATATTTAAGGCAGCAGCAGAAGAGAGGGAATTTTTAACAAAGGCACTGTGGACTAAAAACCATCCTGCTTCTTTTGAAGTTCAGAAATGAAGCCACAAAGTGCAAGAGTAAACATAGCAGCAGTAAAATATTGAGGTTTTTATTTCCTCTATTAAGCAGATTAAGCTCTCCAGCACTATAGTCATAACATACACATATACTTAGTAAATAAGCAGAAAATCCCAAAATTCTAAATAGACATAGCTTTAGACTAATGGTAAAAGATGACCTTTATCTCTGTTGTTAAACATAGTCTTCCTGAGTGCAGCACAGCATGTTGGGGGAATTTATTCCCACTTCACTCCATAATAATACAAGTATTTTTCTGGACAGAGACACTAGGATACACAACATCCCCTGAAAAGATGGAGTAGCTTTAGTGAGAGCTTTTCCATCAGAAATTTTGCCTGAGTTTAGAAAACATACTCAGACAACCTCAGTTTTACTCCAACAAAAGAGTATTTGCATATCCTATTCCTCCTTTCTGCTCATAGCTGATGTTCTGCTTGCCTTTGCTCATCTCAATACTTACAGGTGCTACTCATATTAAAAAAAAAAGAAGAAACAGTTCTTCAAAGCAGGAAGCAGCTGGGTTTTGACTTTAAATTTTTGCAAGCATGTTCTGATGAGTTTTATGCATATTTTAATTATCTAATGACCCAAGGCACACTAAAACTGTTGGATACTTGAGAACTAGAATGGCATGCAGAAGCTACATTCTACATCCAAAAAAGAACAGCTAATGAGGCTGTGCCATTCCCCGTTCTGCCCAGGTGTACTGACTTTCCCGTTCCCATGGAGTGTTCTTAGAGGAATTGTATCGTTCCCATAGGTGTTTTGTAAAATACTACATTTTGGAAACATTAATTGAATTACCAATGTGGATTTTGAAGCACACTTCTCTGTTAAAAACTGTTTCTACCCAAAACATCTGAACTAATAAGGATGTGTTCCTGTGCATCATCATTCAGAAAATCTAAGTCTTCCTAATGGCTCTGTATCCAGCATTTGAGAATCTATGACAAAAGGATGGCAACAAAACAGCAACGTTACAGCAATTGTAAGGCTATCAGAAAGTGAAGATGGAGTATCTCTGAAGAATCCTAACCAAAAGACTCCTGTCCAATGACAGAATCATGGAACAATATCTTAAAACTATGATGACTCACTGACATAGGTTTTCCAATATTTCCCCCCACACTCCAAACACATACATCAGATGCCATAACTGCAGATAGGAGCAAAAGTCCAAATTTAATATGGAGGTTGAAATACAATCCTGGTTTCTCATCACAATGCCACATACACAACCTTACTATGGTTAACAGCTAGACAGAATGCAAAGTCTGAACCTCTTATATGCTGATTCCAAATGAGCATGAGAAACTGAATTTTCAAGGTGAAACTTTTGCTCGTAATGAAAAGTACCCTTCTAATGTACCAAGTTGTAGTAATAGTGTCTCATTTAAAGAGATGCCTTTAAAGTCACACAACTATAAAGGTGTCTTCCACACCACCGAATACCCCCATTAATGTACTGTCTCAGACACTGAAAGCCAACTGACATTGTCATTTGGAAATCGGGGTGTGCTCAGGTGGAGATCACAGCTGTGAAGCAGTATTAAGTAAGAAGATCTGTGGTTATATGGTGTTTCCAGAAAACTCTGGATAAACTTTTTTACCAGTTGCATCTTAACTACAAATGATTGCAATGAATGTAACTGAAATGACTCTGCACATAACTGTGATACTAAACTCTAGTAAAATTATTATTGCAGGTTTATCATGCATAAGAGTAGGGGGTTGGTAAGGAATCTGCAACCGAAATAGGCTGCATTTTTTAAGGGGGAACAGTTTGAGGACCACAGCAGAAATTCTGGCCTCATTTACATCAATGGCAGAATTTCAATTGGCTCCAAGGCACTGGATTTTGCGATACTTATTTCAAGTTTCTCATTACTGTTTGGGTTCATTATCAAATACACTGAGTGGCTGGAAGAAGCATAAAATTAGAGGAAATAGCATTTAATAAAATAATCTGGATTTCTCTCTAGTGGTCAGGAGACTATGTAGTGTATGTGTATATGGAAATGTGCATGTGTGTACTGGGTGGACAGTTTCCTCATATGATACAAAACACTGGGACAACGCGAGGTGGTGTACGGCCCAAAGCATTCCTTAAGCATGCGTTCATACTCATCCTTTTGACATGGGATGGATAAAAGAACAGGAGACCTGGAGGTAGGGTGGCATGTAATCATTCAGCATGCCTAGCTATCCTGTAGCAATTGCTTAACTTTATCTAGTGGCACTACTAATTATTCATCACTCCGTATAAGAGAAATAATGCACCTCTCATTTATGGTGGGGCAGTTCCCAGGGAAGAGAGGTTCTCTCTGATCCTTGTGTAGGTACCTGTCCTACACGGCACATTGCCATGGCACCGAAGGCGTGCTCGCTGACCCTGCGTGTGCGCTGCATTCCTCTTTATGTGCAGGTGGCCACGAGGATGTAGGAAACACCAAGAACAAGCCTACCAGGATGAGGATTGTGGAAATTGTGACTGAATCACTTTCTCCACAAAGGAATATGCTGCTCCTTGCTGATTGCAGAGCAAAAATTTTAGTCTCCCTTCATCTCTTAAGGAAGAATACTATAATGAAAGGTAATTCATGTTGCTCTTTTTTGGGCCAGGCACTTAATAAACTTAATCAGAGCCCTGGGGTGGCTATGGCCAGTGTGTGTGCAACATAAGAAATTTCCCTTTTTTTATTGCTCAAAATTGACTAAATGAAAAAACATGCTTCTATAACCTGAAACAAACAGAAATAAGCTTTCTCCAATTAGAGGAACTTCCAAGCTGACATTTCTGTTCTTGGAGCTCTTTCTTGCTATACATTTTTCTAGGGTGACCATTCAGAAGTGACTGAATTTTTTAAGCAGCTTATAAATAGTTCACACACTCATCATGGTAATACTGTGCTGAAGAAAATGAGGATGTGGCCCTTTTTTAGGATCTTAACTTATATTTAACTGACCTTTAGATCTTTGGCCAGAGAATCTTAGCAATATGTAGTATCCTCAGGTGCTGAGTAGCCACTACTTTTTCTGACTTCAAGTAACAGTAACATTACCTTTACATACATAAAGAAAACTAAGTCTATTCTTGACTTTATGGTTTATTGCTCAATTTTCCTGTATTGTAGCTGAGCTGAATTAAAAACAGAGTGCAAGTGAAAAGTTCTCTCTTCCAGGGAAGGTTGAATATCATTGTTGCTTCAAGACACTGAGCAGCATAATGTATTTTACCATTGCTGTTAAAAAATTATTAAGAATGTCACAGAAGGAATGAGACGTATGGATTTTGGGAAAAAGAAATAAAAGTTCAATGTTTAAGCATTCAGAAAATAAAGAAGAGAAATTTCCATTTTCCTCTTGCAAAATAAATTCTTCACTCATAAAATAAGTAACCTTCAACTGATAAATTCAGTGCTGATATGGGACATATACTGTTGGAGTCTTTTTGTTAGTATTATCAAACCTGAGAGTTACTGAGGAATGAAAATGATTTGTCTGAATAAGAAATTAGAATTGGATCTACAGGCGTTACAATGCCTGAATTTGTGTTCTACAATAGGAAGATTAAAGGTTTATTAGATTAGATAGATCAAAGAATTGAGTTGTATTGCATTTTTGAACTCCGTTGTCCTTTTGTATCAGATTCCTGACATACATACAGTATAATTTTTTCTCTTTAATCATGATGTCTTACATCATAATTGTGAATTTATTCAATTGCTTTTTTGTTGTTGTTCCTTTATTTTCCAAATAAACATTGGGAAAAGAAATTATTAGAAAAACAATTGTTCTAAAATATCACTGAACCTACACTTAGTCAAAATTTACCTTGGGAATTGCAAAGCTAGTTATTTTTTGTATTTATCACATAAGGTAGTAATTTTTTTTATTTAGTCCTACCTTATTCTGCACTAGGTTTCCCTGTGGTCCTTACAGCACCTGCCACAGTTGAAAAAATATTAATTAGGGCTGTTAGGTGCTCACATACAACAAATAACTAATAGTAGTATCATGAAACAGCAAGAAAAAATATTTCTGAACAGATGACTTGAAGGCCAGGATTAAAATAAATCAAAAAGGTTTACATATCTCTGTATAATCATCCGAACTTCTGCATTGTGATTTTTCCAATGAAATGAACAAATACACCTTTTTGAGGTTGCCCTATAACCAGCAGTAATTTTCTGCTTTTTCAAACTTGTACGAACTAATCAAATAGTAATAAGAAGGGTCTTGCTCCTGTTCGTATTGACTTCAGAGTTTTGCATTGCCTTGGAAATGACCATTACTGGATGGAGAGTTATTGTATCAAATAGAATGTGTAATGGGCTGCAGTTTTGACATAGAATTTCATTAGAATTATCACAGTCATTTTTATTGTTGACTTCCTTCTTTACCTAGTTTGCTAAAATAATTCAGTGCTTCATGGGACAGATTCTCATCTTAACTTGTTTTACACTAGGATAACTTTGTTGTCTGGAAGAATATTACAAGATTCAATTACTAGAATTTTCTATATTTGGGAGATTCATTAGATAATTTTTGTAAGTAAGATTATATTAGAAAAATAATCAAAATTATCTGTAAATTTTAAGAGCGTATTGGAATAAAAGAAAAAGCAGAAGAAACATTTATTTAGAATGTTCCTCATAGAAATTGTATTCTCTGCATCAAAAAATTGAAGTCAAGGAGAGTCCTAGGCAAAAGTACTTGTGCAGGTGGAATCAATACGTGCCTTGCTAATTATGAAGTTAACTTCATAAAGCTGTTTCTCCACACTGTTCTCTTTTCCACTTTGTTGAATTTTATAAAATGATCTATGACTCAGATCCTGACAATATAGATGTCAGTGTTAGAAATGCACTGAATTCCTGAGGGCCAGAATTTTTATTAGTATACTTACATTTTCAAGATTTATCTTATAAGCATATTAAACTTCAGAGCCTGCTAGTTTCTCAGTTAAGAAACTTAAAAATTTGCTCTATGGAGTTTAATGTTGTCCCAGGAAAGAACTAGACTGTTTCCAGTCTCTCACTTAAAAATCGTTGTGCTGTTTTGTCCTGATTCAGGTGATGTTTTCAATCAACTTTATCTTACTCAACTCTCTCTCTTCTCTGCACGCTCCTCTGTGCCCGTCCTTGATTCCTTTTCCCTTCCTGTTGTTTTCTGTTTATTGGTTTCCTTCTGACTGCAGGAAGTTATTTACAGGAGAAAAAGCCAAAGGTGAGGCTCCTTCTCAGTAACTCTCCAAAATCAGTATCTTCCCTTTATTGAAGATTTCCCCTCCTCTTCCTACAACTCTGGAAATGATCAAATGAGGCAGTTGCTGCCATGTATCTACAGCCCAGCCAGCTGTAGACAGGAGACTTGCAACTGGGTGGCTGTGCCACATGCCATACCAGCTGGTGCTTGGTACTGAAGAACTTAAACTTTTTTTGCATCCCTTAACCATTGCATCTTGCCTATCAAATACTGGGACAAAACCTACATGTCTGACATTCAAAATCATCTTTACTGATAAAGAACAAAACACTATATACTTTTAAAGGAATAGGAACATGCAATTGACTATTTTTAATATGACAACCATAAAATTGTAATTCTCCAGATAAACATACATGTAATGAGAGTGATTACCATACAACAATAAACCATCACTGCTATTATAAAACTATAAACTGTTTTTCAATGTGCTATAAAATTCAAAATCTAATTGAAAATGCTAGTTTAGCATAATTCCCACAAGCTATCATTTTTAATATTGTGGAATGAGTGGGGGTTTTTGGAGCTATTAATTGTTACTGACAAGCAATAACCACTGGAATGAAACTCCAATTATCAGCAGCCATTAATCACATTTACTGTCATCTGTGATGTCAAAAAAATTCAATAATATTCTAAACAGCTAAAAGGAATTTATACCTCTTATGTTTTAACTCACTTGATAGAAATCAGATGGTCTTTTGGTGGGGTAATCAAGGAATTAGAAAAAGCTATTTTTATTGTAAGCACAATGTTCAGTCTTGTATTTTCTAGTTTAAAAAAAGCTCTCCCACTTCATTCCATTTTGATGGAGACTGAGATACCTTGCAGGTTTATTTCTATACAGTTATGTACAATTTATAACATAATTTGTTGCTAGCATGATGTTATTGCAGTCATATGGCTTCAAAAATAAGAAATTATAGAGATCATCTGAGCATGTAGTTCACTAGTCTGTTCCAGGAAAGCACTTAATGTTGCTTTTAGGATGAAGGCTTGAGCAGGAGATGAAGTGTTGTTGGAGATGAGGGTGTAAATAAGGGTGGCAGAGACTTCATTGTGGTACCTGAGCATTCAAATAAAATGAACTCACTCAGAACATGTCGTTCTATACTTCAAATCTTGTTCATTTTTCAGATTCTGTTGTTTACTTCAAATAATCGTTTTCTTTTTTTGGGAACCTACACAGTATATTAAAAACATACATGTAAATCTTTGGGAACAGATAGGAAACTGTTCGGTACGGTACTAGTGACTGCACTGCCTAAATGTGCAATGTGGGCATTGCAGTTAAAAAGCCATGCTTGCCAAACAGAATCTGCTTTCTATACCCCTGAAAATTCCTGATACTAAAAATAACATTGCTGGACAATTCAGGGCATATTGTGGTCCTTACTCTCAAATGATATTGAGGTTTCTTCTGCACTACAGCAAATGCAGATCATGCTGGGTGACCAGGATGTGCCAGTCATTTACCTAGAGACTCTGTCAGCTTTTGATGGTATAAAAAGACATCGATTTAGTATAGTGTGGAAACACTGGTCTATAATCTGCTGTGAATAATTTCACTTATTAAAAGCAGTGAAATCCTAAATATTTTGTTTACTATACTGTGTTGTTCACTTATGGTTTCATCCACTTTTCATAATCCATCAAAGATACAAGTCCTTGAACAGGAATCAGCAGAGCAGGAACAACATCTGTTCATAAAATACTGCAGATATCCAGCAGAGTATCTTTTTGGAAGAAGCATATGAGAATTGACAGTCAAATAGATATCAAAAGAAGCCCTAAAATAGATACAGTAATTGTATTTAGCTAGGTCTTAGGGACCTCCAAAGCACAGGGCAATTCGTTTTTTTTTTCAAGTAAAGGTGTATTTATAAAATTGAGTATGCTATTGCCTCTGGAAGTGAGAGTCAGAAGTTGACAATACCAACAATTTTATTATTCTAATTTATATAACCAGTGCTCCAAATTTTTTAATACTGCAATTTCACTAAAACCTGGATGCACACCTGACAGTATGGTTTTATAATGCAAAATGTACTGTGTAAATAGCTTATGTCTTTAAGATTCTGTCCTCTCTGAAATTCTCATAAGGTATTGTCATCATTCACCCCTTGGTGACTTAAAAACTGTGGTTAGATAAAAATACTTTACTTGTGATTTTCCTGCTACATGTAATTGAAAGTTCTTACTCTGAGGCATAACAAATTTTTGGCCTGTGTGCATTTTCTTAAACTAAGTGAAGACTTTGAGAGTGTACACATCTAATATAATCAATATTATACTATATTACAGTCATTATCAATTAATAAAAAACAAATTAACTGCCTAGATTAATTGAACTCACAGAAAAAACTTTGTCTCTCATGATGAAACTTCGGAACATGATTCTTTCCTTGAGTTCAACTCCTAAGCTCTTCCATTTATAATTTTCTTCATGTTTTCCTGAGTTGCTTAATGTGAACTTGAATACTTCATAAATTTATTAAAAAAATAACTAATAATAATCACCATGTTATGGTAAGATTTTAGGTTGAAGAATTCATACTGACATTCCATTTCTGATATTTAATTGAACATTTTTATCTTTTCAAAAGAAATTACTAAGTACTTTTAAAAAGTTTTTTCCATTACCAATTTTAAACTGCTGTACTAATAATTTATCATTAAATAATGCATTTATTTATGTTTGTTGTCAAGGTAACAGAGTTTACCACAATAACAGAAATCAGAGTATTTAAAATGTAGTTGTAAATTCTCAGTTTATTAGGGTAAGGTAAACACTAATTCTGTCAAATAATAGTTATCATTCATTAATATGGAATTGAATACATTCTTAGAAGAAAAAAATATACAAATATTACTCTTTCTTGGAATAATACATGGCTTTCCTTTAAAGAAGATAATAATAGACAAATGTTTGCTAATTCAGCAAGTGTGTTTACAACGTGGAGCCTTTAAACCTGAGCTGCCAGTTAACACATATTCCAGAGTCCTGCTAACTTGAAAGGGAAGAACATCCTTGAGTACAATAGCAAGAACTGGCTTTTTCCCTCCCTTCCGTCCTCCTTTCCTTCTTTCCTTCCTTCCTTCCCTCCCTCTTCTTATCTCTCATTGAATAATAAGCCTTATTTAGTGACATCAGCCATTTTGCATCTGCCTTTTTTATGGCTGGAACAGAAGATTATGTGTGGAATAAGCATGAGTGGTGTTCAGACTGAAATGTGTGAAAACTTCATAGATTTTGATAATACAGTGGAAAATGTGTCATCAGCTGGTGTTAACAGTAGCTGAGAAATGGAAATGGATGCAGTAATTTGCACAGCAATTGCAGTTCAGCCCCTCCTGCCATCACTGGGCTGCAAGCATTTACAAATGTAAACCAGTGCAGTGTCAAACCTTGAGATTGGTAAACTGTACCCAGTGGGTTTTGGTAGTGAGTGCAAGGAGGGCAAAGCTTACAAGGACCATATAGCCAAGATCCTCATTTTACTGTGTGGTTCTATTAGCTTTAAATGACATTCAGGCACTTGGATGTTGTATGCCTGATAGCAAGTAGAAACTAACAGGAAAGCAAAATGCATAAGCCATAGTCGGAAATACTGAGAGTTACTAGAATTTCTCTGATTGAGTCCTGCTAAAGACCTGGCTAAAGGCAATGATCTTCTACTTTTTGGCTGCTCAAAGTGAACACTTGAATAGATGATAGCTTTGGAGATGTCATCTGAGTATTGCACAATTAGCATGAATAATTTTAAAATATTCTGTTCCTGTAACAGATCTTGAAATGTCTCATCTAATGGATTATGGTGTTTAGAGCCAAACTATTTAAAAAAACAGCAAGTCTGTACATTTCCATTATTTGGTGTGACAAAATTTATTATTTAAAATTCAAGCAGTGACTGAATAATAGTTCCCAAAGAATGATCTAACCATGGTTGGCTTTTGCTTCAGCATCAGACTACACCTCCAAAGATGGCACTGCAGGGTGGAGGGGTGAGGCTCAGTTTACCGGCATGGGAAGAATTGGATTTGCGGCAAAATATTGCTATATGAAACAAAATCTTTTTTCATTGCACCTCTTTTCCTGAAACCTTGACTAAGTTTTGGCCATGTTAATAACAACCTGCTTGTGAATTATGATACTTTTAAAAATAAAACCTTTTTAAATTTAGGATTTGGGGATGTTGCTTGGTTTGGGGATTTCTTAGGTCCTGTGAACAGCTCATTTATACTGATATCAAATTGGCACAATTATTTTAGGATTCTTTTACTTTGTTTTCAGCAAATACTCTCCCTCATTTTATTGTTCTAATAAGTCATTTAATAATTTTATTATAGCTGTGCATGTGGAATCTCATTTTCAGAGATTACTGATTTAATGTTTTCTCCAGCCTACACATGTGAAACTGTATTTTTGATGTAAAACCATATTACAGCAATGTGTGTAGCACTGCAAATAGCATTTGCTGACTTTTGCATCAGTCTGCTTTGAGGTTGTCTCCAGGCTTTTACATATGGTGGCTGGCAATTTCTTCCTGTTTAAATATTCCTGTAGGAGTTTATTACTTTTCAGTAGCTGGAGAGTAGTACAGCACAAATTTGACTCTTATATTTAGTTCCATCTCCATTTTAGTTACAGATCTTATTGCTATAATTAAGAACTACACAATTTGTGCTTATTATTCTATATACCTTGGGTGTGTTCTGTTCTCCTTTCATTTTAAGTGCACTCCCTAAGGTAATACAAAATATTAACATGCCATATGGCAAATGGAATCAGCTGTAACACCACAGAGCATCTTTTATCATGTAGCTTTTACAATATGACATTCCCAAGTTTGTAACTGATGAATATTGCATGTTCTAGAGTAACTCTAGCTGTATTATGCTGCTTCTCCCATTAGAGGCATCCTTGCTGATACTCTGAGCCTCTTTTTTAACATAAGTGCAGCAGCTGTCATTTTGCAAGAATCAACAACATGCAAAGGAATAGACAGAATGTCTCAATGTGTGGTAATTTTACCAAACTGCAAAAAGTTAGCATGAACACAATATTGCATTCAGATGAATTGTGAAACATAAAATTGATAGGATGTATCAGTAATAATGAGTTTTATGTAGTTGGGAGCCTTGACTGAGAATTTTTGTTTGTTTGTTTTTATTGTCTGTAGAGCTTCTGGAAATTCATAAAATGTTTTATTTCTCTAGTAAATTTCTATAGGTTTGAAGTCAGCCATCTGAAACATGCTGTCTGGAAGCATTAGATGCTGTTCTATGAAAGTTAAACATAAGCATAACATAGGCATTTTGTAGAAGGGTTAAAGCACTTCTATAAGGCCAGACTCTAAAGGGAACTCTATTTTGTGGCTACACTAGATGGATGTGATAAGCTGATGATGTTACTCAGGAACGTGCAATGCTCTAAGTAACCATTTCTTACTAGTTGACGTTGTGTTGGTGTACCAGTACTCGTGTTAGCTTTAATTTTGTGAGTAGAAGGGAGAGGTGAGGATTAAGCAGGTAGACAGGGGAATGATGGATGTGTACTCTTTAGTTACGAGAATCTTTTTCATCTTATGTTTGCGGCAAAAATGTAATAATAATCTAATTTAAAAGTAAGTATATCTAAGAAGTTAAGAGGATGCTTCTGTCATGAACAAATGCCTCATGTAATATGCAGTTAGATTAGCATCCCAGCTTGTTTTAGGCTGTAGAGAATGTACAGTCTCCACCACACGTACTGCTCCCACTGTGTCACAAGAACTTTTCTCCAAAGCAGGGGAGCAGAGGAGCAAAGGATGAATTATTGCTCACTGTTCTTCCAGCTTTGCTCTTTGATAAATATATTTTTACTCCTCTTTGTCAAGCTTAGGAAATAGAAGCGTGCTCAAGCTCTAAATGAACTTCCCACCTCTCACAAGTATAAGAACTGAGAGGTAGGTCATAATACAAGTTGCTCTTCTGCAGTGCACATGTAATGCCCCAAGAGATCAGTACTAGGATAGGGTCATGTAAGGTTTGAAAACTTTGAACTGATTTATTGAGAAAGAACAGTAACACACATACCACAAATCTCTTTTTTACTCCTTTGTAAAAATATCACTTGTTCGGTTTTCTGTAGGAAATAGTACTTTGTTTCATTTAAACAAATTAAAATTAAATACAGAAAATGGATTTTATTGAAAGAAATGTCAAATGCCAGTATAGTAAATATTTGCACTGAGGTAATGTCAATTTTACTCAAAAAGGAAATTTGTTATGTGAGGGGGTGTATGTAGAGTATATCTGTGTCCACGTACATATGTCCATAGTATATAGTAGTAATTCTCAGAAATACTAGGGAGGGCAAGGTGCTTATATGCTTATGCTTATAAACTATTTGGTATGATTCTTTATACAATTTCCACTTTATATAGAATCACTTCAATTCCTTACCTGAATTTTTAGAAACTGGTCTGTCTTTTTGTCCTTAATTTTTCTTTCTTGCTTATCTATATCGTATCTACTGCCGTTCTCCACTGTTTGCTTGCCTCCTTGTCACATATGAAACCAGCACGGTCTGTATATTGATAAACCTGCATTGACAAATATCCGTGAATTACATATAGGTAAATGAAAGACCTTTTTTTTTTATTACTCTTCTTTCTTTTTCCACAAAACCAGAGATAGAACAACAAGAGACTTGGGGTCAAATTCTGATGTAGTAAGTTTGCACACTTGAATACTGCCATATTTTTGTATTGTGAACCACTTCAATCCATGCAAAAGACCTATTTATATAATTATTCTTTTCTGAAAAAAATGTGGCAAAACAAACACATAGAAATAATATAAACATCTTACAACACAAAACATGGCCTTAAGAGAAAGTACTAATATTTTGCAAGGTATCCTTTGGAAGCCCAACCAACACATTCAGAGTGACCAGTCATATTTAGAAGTGCCACAGGCTAGTTTAGTTGCAGCATTTATCTATTTTCTTTTAGGCCTGATCTTGAAGTTTGTAACAAAGTGCCTATCCAAGACACCTCTGCAGGGCTCCGTGATTTTCACAGAATTCTGATCAGGCTTGCAAGAACAATATTTATATTGTAAATGGCAATTTTCTAAATTGCAATTTAAAGGAGGTTTGTCCGTTTCCTTTTCTGCTTTTTTACTCTTTGGTGGTTTTGGTTGTTGGTTTTTTTTTCTTTTTTTCCCCCAGAACTTATTTATTGGCTTTCCCCTAATTCTTAACAATCCGTCCTCCATCTCTTGTGCCTCTTTTCCCCACCTTTGCTTTTGAACAATCATGCCTTCAGGCAAGATTTTGTAAATTAAAATTGTATCATCCTGTTCTATGAACTTAGCTTCCCAACATTCTCATTTTTAATCCTCTGACTTCCTTAATTAAGTCCAAGTTAGTTACAAACACCTGTATGAGGAATTTGATTATTTGAAATGAAGTATTTTTGTCATACAAGAAGGTATGAAAAATAATTAAGATTTTGGAACGTATAATGGTGCCAAGGAACTTTAATTAAAATAAACTGTAGGCTCATGGGACATCGTTTCTAAAATGGAAGGCATATATATCTATATACATATATCTGCACTTATGGGGAACTTATTTTCTTGAGAAGGACAAGAACTGTATTTTTTGTCCCTTTTCCAGTAGGATCTATGTCAAAACGAAGACAAAAAGCATAGAAATACTTAAAATGGCTTTCTTTAAATGACAGAAGTGGTTCTACCCTTGAATGCATGGAGACCTTGAGTGTCCCGCCTCAAGGACTGCATAAGCCTCTGCATAAGCCTGCCTGCCACTGAGCCTGAACTGGCACCCTTCTGTGGCTCAGAGACACACTAATATAGTATGAACAGAGCCCTGAACCAAAGATGAATTAAAACCAGCAGAATTTGGCTCTATATTTCCCTTTGTCTCGTTGCCAAAAAGCTTCACATATAATAAACACAGTCATCAAAATTCACTTATGACAAGTAACAGTTAGCTTGTGCATCATTTATCGCAGGGTTGTGCGATTAATCACATCTTCATATACTTTAACAGGTAATATGTGTTTCCTTAGAGCATGCCACATTTTATTAAGGCGTCCAGCTTTCCACAGAGACGATATTAAATAAAAAGCATTCTTATTAGCCTGGAAATTCTTGCCATACACCAAATACCATGTTTTCTGTGATTAGTTAGCAAGAACCATCTGTCATGTCCCCACCCCCACAATGCTGAGGAAGGCAGAGACTGAAGGTGAGAAGTATATTTACTTTTGACAACAAAACCAGCTGTTGCCATTGCTTTTAGCTGCAAGGCAAACATGCTGGAAAAGGTGACTATCTATTGTGATTGTAGTGCACTGGGACCAACTAGTACTGTTGATGACAGCAAACCTCTTAAAATCTGGAGGAAAATTGCTTTATGGCTTATGTCAGGAGGGCATGTACAAACACAGCTCCAGCTGGGAGCTGGAACCAGGAAGCAGAAACTTCAGGCTAGAAAAGTATCAGGATGAGTTCAAGTAAGAGTCTCCCCCTTCTCCCGCCTTCCTTTTGCTAGAAAATTATATTGGAAAAGTGAACTATTTTTCTCTAATGATAACACAAGATTCTGAAATGAAGCACAGCAGGTAGAAACATCCGGCACAGATTTAAAAAGATATTGCATATTCATATGCTGAAATGTTTTCCAGTGCTGACAGCTAACTATTCCAAGTGGAAAAGGTACATGCTCTGCTGTTGTTCATTCTCTGCCAATTTCCCTTCCTAAAACTCTGGCACCATATCTTGGGGGCTGTGTACTCTAATCTCTGTTATTCTTACCATCATCCATCAAACTAAGAAAGATATTTACAGAGCCAAATAAATTTGACTTTCAATAGGATAACAGCAAATTGGTATATTTTCAAAATTTTTCAGAAGGGGAAAAGAGGTATTTCTTCACTAAAAACTAAAACCCGTGTTACTTTCTTTCATATTGCACAAGGGGAGCACTGTGCTATGGTGTGAATGTACCTAGAGCATATTTCAGGAGCAAAATATAAACATTGGCAGCAAAGGGCATTTTATGCAAATGCGTTTCCTGAGTGATGGCTCTTCCTCCCTGATGATTCTGGCAAGACATAATAATTTGGGAAGATAAGCAGAGTGCCCTGCCCTTCAGCTCTTTTCTCTAGAGCACGTACATCCCCTTGCAAATAGGATTATGACAAAAAAAACGGTTCCTTTGGGTGGGAGCTTCTTTTAAAATATGTTCAATATATCACTGTATAAAATTGTAGAGATAAAGCAGAGCTATAAAAGACACACTTTTAGGAAGAGAAAACAGACCATCATGCCTGACTCTATATTGCACTCATTTTCCTTTTACAGCCCACCTGTCAGTCCTGTTATCCTTGTCTAGAAAAGAATTTACAGTAAGTCTCTGCTTCAAACAGTTTCCATGGCAACTTGGTTCTGTTTTAAACCCTTTACATAAAAATGGCTTGGTTAAAATGATAATGAGTTGGAATGCTTGTCCATACCTGAACTACACCTTTCCCATTGCTCAAAAATAATCAGATAGGGGTGTCACTCCATCTGCTGTAGTTCCTTTAGCTTCTACAACACTGTCTCACTAACCAAGTCAGAGCAGTTTCTTTGCCATCTGGAAATCTCAGTTTTCAGAAACATATAAGGTCCAGGGTACTGACTGGTGTTTACACATTGCATGCTGTGAAGCAGTGTAAAGCATGGTGGGTCGGGAGTCTTGAGTTCACTGGGAAAGGATCCCTCTGTTTGTACAGTACCTACAGTAGGGCTGAAAGCTCCAAGGACCATAGCATCTTTTAAGAAATGAACCAAAAGAGGCAGACTATCTCCCTTCTAGAAAATGCTTTTCACAAAGGCAGGAAAAAAAAATTCCTATCAGGCCAGATCAAGGGGAAATAAAAGTTCAGAAAAAACAAATGAAACTTTTAATTGATTTAATTGATTCTAAAATTTTGTGATACTCTCCCATCACTGTGGGTATGTATGTTTTATCCAACGTTTAGTTATCCTAGTTTCAAGCTCATCTCTTGCACTAGTAATTTCTGATTCTCTAGCCCAGTTTGACTTTGACAGTCTTATTCATAATTCTGATTACTTCTTTATAATGTCTCAAACTTGGGAAAAAATCAATATTCTTTTTTATGTAACTTAAACACTTCAGTGATAAGACAAGTTTCAGTTACAGGGAAATCTTAAAAGAACTTCTAATGTGGATCTGATAGAGCTCTTAAGCAATTACTCTGAAAACTTGCTGCATTTCACAGAAGATGACACCTTCCCCGTGATATCAAAAACTTAACATTCTGTATTAGATCTGCTCTTCTAAGTTGTATCCAGTAGCTTAATATTTCTATAGGATTTTTTTTTTGTTCTATAGCAGGCACTGATAGACTTTATGAAAAATAATTTTACACTCCTATATCTTCCAGGCAGGCATTTCAAAAGCTGCTGAATGTAGGTATACACCAGTTAATTTACAACTGAGTTTGTCCAAACAAAATCTTGGTAAAGATCTCAGGTTTTGGCATGGGACAAAGAAATATTATTTTCCTATGAGAAGTGATTACCTAGCTGGTCCCTATTATGCGTCTTAAATAAGAGAAACAAGCCCCTGTGTGCATTGTGTTTCACAGTTTGGATAGTAATGAGATACTGCTGCCTTGTCCTTGGCAATACACAGAAGGGCACTGTTCAGTGATTTTTCATACCTTATTTCTGAAATGCGAGGTGTACGTATGCTATACCCTTTGTATGGGTTTACTTTTGTATAGACTAAACTTTGATTGTCATCTACTGATTCATCTAGACAATATGATCACCTTGAAATTCAGTTGCAATTTAAAAGGAGAGTCAGTATCCTTGTCCCAAACCAAATAATATGAGTGTACTAGAAGTTCGATTTAGACTGCATAATTCCTCCATTAACAACTTGAAAAAAACCAAGCTTTCAAATGCATTTTTTCCACCTCTTATTTTTAACTATCAGTCTCATTTACCCCCTGTGTCCTAACACTGTTTTATAGACATTAATTTCTGAGGGCAGGCTTTGTCAAATCAAGGTACCATAAATCTACTGAATTCCTTTCATCAGTCATGGCAATAACATCTTCACAGTACTCCTGCGCATCAGTAAAGTATGACCTTCTCTGACTGATCCGTGCAGACTGCACTTAATTGAACTGCACTTTTCTAGTGGGCATTTTAACTTTCACACAATGATATTTTTCAACTGATGATATCCAACCAACTGGTCTCCAATTTCCAGATGAAAGAATAAATAACACCTGATGCTTTGTCAGTTTAAAAAAAAAAAAAAAAGGTTTCTTATTTTTAATTCTTTTAACCTCTTTTAACTCAATTGAACAATTAAATATGCTTACACTTTCCATGGGTTTTTTTATTCCTTTCATAATCCTTTATATAAAAAGGAGGACTGATTCTGGGCCTCTCTTCACCATTGTAGTGTTATTGATTCCATCCTGATGCTAATCTGTGGTCCAGAAATACTATAGTTTGTTATGAAAACTGATCATACTAGTTGGCCACTTGA